GCCCGTGGCAGGGCCGGGCCGGCACAGTCTCACTCTGCTGCTTGTGCAGAGGTGACGGGTGTGTGCAACATGACAGCCAAGTGCGGGAGGCTCCTTCTAGACAGATATACTCAATAGCAATATTTTGACTGTCTTGTGCAATCTACTAATTGGTCTCGCAGGCATCCTTAACAGCAGAGATTGGAGATGAAGGCGGTGGAGATGCTCAGGAAAATCCCAGTTGTGAAATCTCTTTCAGTAGCCTTTCCCCGCCGAGAGAAACACTGGGGACAAGACCTGTCAAGTGAGAAAATATCTTAAGGGGCCCTTGGATTATTTCAGGGATATGGAAATATCTTGATAGGAATAGAAAACAATCACTTCCACGCTGCAGCCATCTGCCCTTGCCAGATATCCAGCCTCTCTTCTTGAGGGTACCTAGAGCCCGCTTTCAAAATGTTATTCGTTTTTCTTGGTGAATTTTTCCAACCATTAAAAATCAGTTACACCAAGCTCATTTTCATAACAAGGCAAAGTTATCGATTTTAAGGTGAAGGTGATCAAAAGTGGTCAAAAAGTTTTGGGTCCGTGCACAGTCAAGGTCTGAGCCCGAGGGGAGGATTCCAAATCCTAAAGCTCAAAGATGTTAAAAATGTTGTATTGTGTGAATGCAGAAAGTGATTTAAAGCAGGTGACTACAGTCTTATGTAAGCTTGGCTTTGGATGCTATGGCTGAAACAAGTTCATCTATGGTCAGAAAACGCCCCTGATGCTGTTCATGCAATTTTTGTGAGGGCCTTTATAAAAAAAAAAAATTCCTCTCTCGCTCTCTGATAGCTCCTGGGCCAGATGGATAATTAGGGAAGTTTTAGTCTCATGCTGCTGCCCCCTTTGTATTCTTTTAACGTAAAGAGCATTTCTTCTGCTGCGGCGAAAACCAGTTTCTGGGAGACGAGGTTATCCTGCGGCTGTGGAAGGGAGCAAGCCACGCTGACCTGCCCGAGTGTGCTGGAAGTGTTCCCACCATGCGCTTGGTCAAGCAGGAAGTGTCCGGTCATCTGGCTTTTCTGCCTCAAGAACTTGCCATGTCATTTCAGCTCTTATCTCAAACTGTTACTTTTGCGAGAGCTTTAATTTTTAATCTTGTAGTTCTTTCCTTTGAGGGCCAGATCCTTGAGATGCATTTCACTTAATGGGTAACTGCAAACAGTCGGCACCTTACGGGATTTGTCCCTGTCTCCGTAAAATACGCTTGGTGGGAATAATGCTGTAGCACAGAAGAAAGTGGCATTGTTCTGTGTGCAAAGCATGTGCCCCTTCTAACGAGCTAGTTCATTCCTTGACAAATATAAAATGAATTCATTGTCTGACCAACAGCACTTCAAGGTTTATCAGAATATAAACCTGATTGATTGGGAATGTTAAGCTGGTTACATGGAAGTCATATTACTAAAGGTGGTCACCCTCCATGGATTAAAGGTTTAGAACAATTATTGTTCCTGTTACAAGGCGAAGACACACAGAGCCATTGTGTCAAGAATACAAAAATCTCTGTTTATTACCACGGGGCTGACATGCTGAAAGGCCTGCTCTGCACGCCAGCACAAAAGCTTCGTTGCTTCAGATTGTTTGTTTATGTAAATTTAAATGGTGCATTTAATTACGCAACTGGAAGAGTCTAAGCAACAAGAAAGGTGCTGATTGGATCGCCCTGTGCAAAGAGCCCGCTGGCAAGCGCTGGACAAATCTGACATTGTTACTCCGGTCTCTGTTTTGCTACAGCGCCTTCAGAGGAAGAGACGCTTGTTGACTACTTGAGGAGGGGGAAAAAATCCCTGGAAGCAAAGCAGAAAGGTATCTTGCCCCCCACGCCCCGAGGTGCAGGACCCGGGGCTCCGTGGAGGTGTGCAGCTGGGCACAGCCGAGATCATGACAGAAGAAGTCCCCATCGCATCCTGCACACCCGAGTGCAATGGGAACGTGACCCCGGAGGGGGGTCCGCTCCAGGTCATTGATATCATTGATGAAATAGCAAAATCTGTCGGGACGGTTCCTTATGCAAACGCAGAAATCGATCTTGACGCTCCACTTTCAAAAGAGACTCAGGAGGAAAGTAGAAATTCATTAGCAGAGAAGACAATATGTGGCGATTCTGATGGAGAGAAGCAATGTGAAGGTAAAGTGCAACGCTTGTCTTTATTTCAATATTTGGGTAGAAAAGCCTGTATTTTATGTATAGCCTTATGAATAATAGAATGTATTCTGTGTGTTATTCAAAACTCCTCCCCTACGGTTAGTTGTAACAATGACTCAAAATAATTCAGTTAGAGACAAGTTTGAACTGGCAGTTACAGAGCATGAAAGGAAAAGCATGTGGCTAAAGAAACAACAATTTTTTCATTCTGTTCTGAAAATCAGCTGCCTGTATGTAACTGTTAAAAACTAATCCTCCTCACTAACTGCACCATGCGTCCATTTCTTGTGCTTTATATTTCCTAAAGAAAAGCAAGAAGAAAATGATGCGACTCAGCAAGACGGATCAGCTGATATCCCTTCCCAGGACACAAGAACCGATGGCCAGAAATCAGAAGAAGGTAATGAAAAATGCTGCGTGATGTGACATGTTTTTCAGAAACATAGCAACGAGTAGCTTTCAAAGACAATGCTATACACATGTTTATTAATTTTTTTGCAAACAAGGGAGGGAGTTTAGTCAGACCCTTATATTATAGTGAACGGTGGCTCATTTCCCAATTATAGAATTGTCACCCCTTAGGAAACATTGCTGGTATCTCTGTTTCTGAGGTTTGTATATGAACTCCATCACCATGGTATCGAAGCACGCTGGGCTCTTTGACACATGAGGTCTTCCAACACCCTTGCGAGGGTGGGAGATGCTCTGTCCTTTTTACAGGGACATGTAAAGGGTAAGTTCTACCTGCCCATTTGTTGGGAGGCTTTAAGTCAAAAATGCGCATCCTCACAACCTAAACTTTTTTCCTGCCTAATTCTGCAAGTGACTAAATCCCCCTGACCCCCAATTATCTAGTAGAAAAATTGCCTAGTAAGAACCATTCTCAGTAAGGACTGGAACTTGCATCTCTCTCTACTGCTAGGTAAGTGGGGTTGTAGGGTATTGCTCACTGTCAATCCCAGTGTGTAAATTAAAATATATTGAGTATATAAAAATATATTTTATCATAGTATGCAAAATGCAACCATGGAAAAAGGAGGTGTATTTTATTGCCTGGAGGATAGATCCTTCACACTGGAGTTGCAGGTTGAAGTCCTCTTGAAGAGGTGAGGGCTCCACACCTGGCTCTCCCAAATCCCAGCCGGATGCTCTAACTGTGGGTGAAAGCAGACCCTTCTTCTTGAGGGGGAAAGGTATGTTTCCCTGGGGGTGGCCTTCAGCATTACTCCGTTTTCTGTATTTCCCATTGCGGGGGCTCCTTGCCGGTTTCACAGCTGCAGGATCAGGATGCCCCAGCTGTAGGCACGCGCTCTGGCGGCACTGCTCCGGGCGGGGGGGGTGTTTCTGCCCGAGGCTCCTCGGGCTGTTTGGGCCGTAGCTGGGGAAGGGTCCCCTCCTGCAGGTCTCTGAGCTCCTGTTGCCCTTCCCCATCCCCTTGGCATGAAGACCCCCGGAGGCTCTCGGACACCTATCCCGCACCCGCTCGTGCCGAGGCTGGCCGGGCTCTCGAGGAGGTGCAGGGTAGGAGCTCTCGATCTTTCTTCTTCATTTATACCTCCGCCTGGCTGCAATTTCAGTATGTCAGCTGCCACATAAATATTAAACTCCTCCTCAGAGAAGAGCAGGTTAACAACTCTGAGTAGTTTTCAAGTGCTATCAAAGTTAAAGTCATTTGACCATAGCTATAAAAGATATATAGGCCATGCCTTGTAATCAGAAACTGATGTTGCTTTGATTAAGAAAAAAAAAAGAAGAGCATTTGTCACAGGCGAAATAATACTTCATAGAAACTGTATAGATTTTGAGAAGGTGAATCACAACGGAGGCTTTTCCACTTAAGCTGACATCTATATTCCAGCTGTGTTGCCTTACAAGTGCACAATAAACCCTATTAAGTAATCTTGCACAGCCCCCTTGCCTCCCCTGTCTCAGCCACAAGCACTTTATCTCTAAATTGCAGGCAGCTTTTTAGTACCTAACCAATTTAGACTAATTAATACTTAGGACCCCACAGGCAAAATGTTGAATAGACCATTGGTTGCGGCATGAAAGCATCATTTAAAGAAGAGATGTGCCAAGTAGGACAAATAAGAGATAGCCATCTAAGTGTAGTCTGCCACCTTTAAACAAGAGGAGTGAGTGTAAAATATGTCCCCTAGGACACCTGCAGCGAGCGCGCCCCCCCAGAGCGTACCTGCGCTTAACCTCGCTGCGCCTCGGTGTCACTGCTGCCCAGTGAAGGCAGCAACGGGAAAGATCTCAGAGCTCCTGGTAGGAACCGTCTGATGGGACCGTCCTGTCCTTCCCCTCTAGGCCCCCCGGGTCCCAGGGAGGGTCCTGGGATGGCAGCGCGTGGGGGCAGCGGCACCCCGTGACGCTGCGGGGCGCGAGGGGATGCCTGCCCGGGGAGCTGGAGGAGCAGTGCCCCCTGCCCACGCTTCCCTCCTCGCACTGTGCTGGGAGGATGCCCCGAGCCAGACAGGACCGCGACCGCCTGGCTCCATCCCTGTTAGGAGATTTGCCTGGAGAGGTTTCCAATACCCAAGTGGATGGAGGTTTAGCTATTTCCTGTTGGGATTGGAAACCACGTCTCTTAGCTTGCTGGGGAATGTCCTAGTCCTTGGCCTGCAGACTTACCCCTCTGGCCAAATGGACAGTCACTTGTTTTATCCGCACAGGTGAATTGCACCAGGAGAGTCGGGATAACCCTATGTCATCTTGGTGCTGCACACTGAGAAGATTCCCCCTGGAGCAGGGACATGTAGCGCAAATACCTTCTCACGGAGGAAGACATTAAATCTGGACCCAAATGTATTGGGTGAGAGCTCCTGATCGCAGCTAAAACGTGAAGGGAGTAGCAGTGACTCATGTTTTTAGGAGAAAGAGTTAGCTCCAACATCTGCCTCCAGAGTTCAGGGTGAAAATGAAATCCCTGGTGAGACGCACAGGCTCCCTTCTGCATTAGACACCTCTGCCAGTGGCAGATCTGGGAAGCTGTGGCGTGTCCTAAGCGGAGAGCTCTGAAATGTCTCGGCCTCTGGCGAGGGACACGCGGTCGGGCAGAAACCGGGCTTTTCCTGAGCTGAGTCACTGCCTCCGTTCCTTGAAGCCCCTGAGCAGGTTGGTCGCTGTTTGCCGTTGGCGGCGGTGCCTGCTGTGCCTGCGGCGTGAGCCGTCCTCGGGGCAGCGTGGGGTCGCGGTGGGCGCCCT